TAAAACTATGCCGTTGTTCAGTCCATAGTATTCTCAGCATCCTTCTGTAGGTCTAAATTCCTGCTGCTTCTTACACTATCTACTTCAAGAAAAATGTATTAAGAACTTATACACACTTGTCCTTAAAACCAGTGACGTAACCGAATATTCGTTTGATTTAATTCAATTGGCCCTGCTCTTATCAATAACATTAGTGGGCTGAGTTCAAGTTGCGTTCTCGTCCCTTGCATTCATTACACACATATTAATAGAAAAAAGGCATGAACCCATTGATTCCCCCACAAGCTATGGGATAGACAGCAATTGGACGCTCTATACATGGCTGGTCACCAGTCTAAGAGAAAGGCAATTCTGAATAATTTAAATCTGTGAAGAGGGCTAATGGAATCTCTTCCCACTATCTCCTTCATAGTGCAACAGTAATTGGCAGATAATTAAGCCGAGGGATAGATGGTGACCCATTATGGCTAAAGACCTGACGGGACAAAGTATTTTCAACATATCCCTTTTTTATTTTATATCATGTTGTCTTCATATTTCAGACAAAAAAGACATGAATCTGTGTGCAACAGGTCCATATTACTTAGTTGCGTATGAACAACGAAAACGTAAAGTAATTTGCTAATAAATAAGCGTCCTCCACTTACAGCGTAAGAGACTTAATAACGGGTGTTTTCCGGTATTCAGTAGACAGTTAAAATATGTAAGTATAGCGTATTTAATCTCTTTTGTTAGCATGTACAGGTTTGTGCCATGATTTTCTCAATTGGCATAACAGAGAACCACGTAGTTTAATGAAAGCAAAGCACGTAAAATAGATTTTAATACAGCATGGTTATAGGGCTTTGGCCACAAAAATAATCCTTCTAGTTGGAGACCATTTATGCATGGGTATTAAGAGATAGCATCAATTAAAGTGATAGATAGATAGAATGTATTTGCTTACCCCGTTAAGGTATTATGCATAATGATTGTCTATGAATAATCAAGAATGACCTCCCCTTGTTTTGTTACTCTCCACTTTTAAAGACCTATAAAAGGACAGTATACGCGAACCTTGTATTCTCAGTTGAATAAAGATTTCTTAAAGCCTACACCTGCATACTTTTGTCATTTGAATGTTATCAGTTGATACCAGGGACACATGGTCGAACGATTGAAAAACACGTAAACTAGTCACTGTTCGCATGGATTTGATAACGTAAAATATATCACGCCTTCTAGTGGGTATGAAATATATAAATCATGTTCAGGTGTTTTTTCTCCCAACTCTAAGCGGAAGTGGCCAATTAAAGAATTCGGTCCCATGTTCCACAGGAAACTTGAAAAAAAGACCCCCCAAGAGTTCTAATTTGTCTGTTCTTTGTTCCTTTATACTACGCTGTTTCAATCAATAAATATCGGCCAATATCAGCTCAGCGTTTTCTGATAGTTTTCCGAAGCTCGACTCAGAAGACCGCAGGCTTTAAAATAGCTTTCCCTTAAATTTAAATTTAGTGCTGTGAGTGGATATATAATCAGCCGGCAAGTGTTTATATTGCAGAAAGGAAGTAGACTGAAATCGCTTTATTTTAAAGATGATCTCTGGTCATGATTCAGCTGATTTCTAAGTGTACATTGAATGTAGCGTTTATAGGAAGTAGGAAATCAAGCTCCATCAAAGCCTTGTATCCTTTGTATCTCTTAGCAGTTACCGTCCTGAGTATGATGATAAACTAAATCCAACAAAAAGGTCTTTGATCAGGTTTTGAGGAGTGTGGAATCACCTCTTAATTGCTGGTGTTCCCAGGTTCACCCTGATCCGGGGTGGTAGCACCTATTAGGCTCCCAGCTATGGACAAATAGTTAACCCCTATACTGGGGTCAAAACACTATGAATATGTAAAAATAGGTTTTAATACCCGAAATACTTGTAAAAAAGATTATTACCAGCAATACATTTTTTGGGAAACAAAAAAGATATTACCAGAAATACATTTTCGAAAAAAAAATTATTTCCTGCAATGAAAATTGTCGGCATTAAATAAACCATTGAGGTTAATATGCCGTAAAACAAACCAAACCAAACTAAATCCAATCTTAGCAATTATTATTTTTTACTATCCATCTCACCCTCATCCCTGACATCATCCAGTTTCATTAGTTGGTTAGCTAGGTTTCTTACGGGTCTCATTCCCCTGTTTTGTAAGTATTGTAAGTGCCAAATTCTCTAACATCTAATTCCTGATTATATTAATCACCACAGAGGCCCTTCCCTGCCATCGATTAGAATGTCTGACGCTCAACTTCTCGAGAGCACCTCTCTGCGACTGCTCTTCTCACGTTGGCGGCTGACCTGAGATGGAACAAATACATGGAGTCAATTGCTTCGTCCACCGCAGGGAAAGTTGGCTCCCTGTGCCGCGCCAGGAAATTTTTCTCCCCGGAATCGATCCTTCAGATCTACAAATCAACAATTCGCCCTTGCATGGAGTATTGCTGCCATATATGGTCTGTAGCCCCTTCTGCTTGCCTCGGGGTTCTTGATAGGCTCCAGAGGCGGATATGCAATATAATTGGCCCTGTTCTGGCATCTCGTCTCCAGTCACTTTCTCACAGACGCGCCGTCGCCTCACTCTGTCTTTTTTGCAAATACTTTCATGGTAATTGCTCCGAGGAGCTGCATTCGCTGGTTCCCAGACCTCATGAGTTCAAGCGCCCTACGAGTCTGGCATCCCGCTCTCACCCCTTCACTGTCGAAACTCCTAAATGTAGCCGTCTCTTCTACTCCAATAGCTTCATGTCTCGCACCTCTCGCCTGTGGAACTCCCTTCCCTATTCCAGTTTCCCTGAGAGCTATAATCTCCAACTATTCAAATGTAATGTCAATCGACATCTCCAGTTGCCTTGATCTATCCACTGTCCTTCTCCTCATCCTTTCCTCTATCACTCCTATCTGATCTTGCTCCAAATCTTCTGTAACCCCTTGCGTCCTAGTGGCTTCCCGCCTTGCTTGGGGTGAAACGTTTAAAAAAAAAAATGTCGCCGAAATTTCTACTCTTTCGGATTCTCAGTCTAAATGTGTTTTTTGATTTATTTTCTATTTTCTTTACAACTTCTGATTTCTCGCAAGTTCCATCTATCGAATTCTCTTCATTCTTCTCCGGAACCATATACGTGTTGTCTCAAGTCGCCTCTTCATCTGAAACCGTATCCCTACCATTTCAAATTAAGCTCGCTTAAAGATCATCCATTTACGAGACAAATTATTTAAGGAAAAAAGTGTTTTAAAGCTTCTTGCTGAAGTAAAATAATAAAAAAAGAAAAGAAATATATCACTAAAGTAGAATCTAATGTGGAATTCCATCAACAAACAAACTCTACTTTTAATTCGGCAGTTTCATTTTTGTTGTAGAAATCATCCTCACTCTAACGCTGGCGTCAATTTAGCTTGACAAGATAGAAATGCATTTCATGGCAATTTATCAATACAATCTACTTCCATTAGAAAACTTTACATCAAAAGGTTTAAAAGCGAATTCCGATCAATACAATGAGTAATCGATGAAACAAGAGAGATTTGTAAGATATTTTCGAATATTTTTTTTTTTTATTATTCTTGTCTTATTTCTTAAATAACTTATTTTTCAGAAACAACTAAGATAAAACGATTTTTTAAAGATGGCAAGAACAAGCATCGAAATATTAAATAATTTAACTGTCCCACTTGTATTTGTCAGTCAAGCTCAAATAATCTCGTAATATTATCTATAGATTTATTTCCTTCTTGTGTACAATTACAGTAAAAAAAAAAATGAAAGATGAACGCTAGTTTTCGGTAATCAACTAAACTCCATAAAAAAAATATACATATATATATATATATATATATATATATATATATATATATATATATATATATATACCAGTGATTCTTAACCATCTTGCCGCGGCACACTAGTGTTCCGTGAAATATTGTCACGGCATACATATATGTGTGTGTGTGTGTGTCTGGAAATAGTAATGGTACAGCATTAATATTGAATAAATAAATAAGCATTAAACTTTTTTTTTCAAATAATTCTTTACTTTACGAACAACAACATGCAAGGTAAAAACGAAAATATTCTAACTTCAACAGATAAGTTGTTTGCCATCAAAAAGAAAAATAGAGCAAGGTCGGGTAGTTTTGATATATTTCCTCCAATGCGTGCTACATGCATTAAAGAAGTGATACCTACTATGGTTAACTAGATGAAAGCGCTCAACGAACACTTTGATTATTATTTACAGTCATTGAACACGGAAGAGAATGATTGGAATCGAAACCCCTTCATAAACGTTCATTCTAATGCTGGACTTCCATTATGGGCAGAAGAAAAAGAATTAACCATCATTTCTAGTGATTGACGACTGAAAAGAAAACACCAGCGACAAGTTTCACACTTAAGAAGCTGAGCAAATATTTGAATAGAAACATTGCAATAAAGTAGTTTCATGTTTACGTGTATAGTTTTTTTTTTAATCTATAGTTTTATTTCATACCATTTAAATGTATACTCTTTAAAAATGTTGCTATATGAGTCGTTAAGTTTTCATTTGCTCCTGGGTGTTCCGTTGCTAAAAAAAGGTGGCGAGACACTGATATAGATTTTATGAAAATCTATGAAAAAGTGGAAAAGGAAATTTAATGTGACGCGTTTCGTCCTTTAGGATTTCAATGAAATGCGTCACAGAAAAAAATTTTTTCATTTGATCATTGTTCTGCCTAAAATTGTTCTTGATATAGAAAAAGTTATAATTCGTTCCCTCAGACAGCTAAACGTTAAGTATTAAAATTTGTTATCACATTAAATGACAAAACAAGTGTGTTATATTTTCACATTTACACTGAATGTGATGTTATTTGAATAAACCATTTTAAAAACCTTCCTACATCCTGGAATTTTTTCTGAAATGAAAAACGTAAACATGTGTTTAACTGAGGCTTAAAAAGCAGACTTTTCAGAAAGCGGGAAAAAATGCATTTCAGTATTAGCTTTAAAATGTTTCTGTCTAAAATGACAAGTCGCTTCTTGAAAACAAGTCTTGTACATAAGCTGTAAGATTTCACTGTTTCTGCAAAATAGGTCAGCTTAGTGCAAGGTGATTGTCAACAGTGTCGAATAAAGTACCAGCTTTGCGTTGAATTCAGTTAATAAAAGGTTAAACCATGTTGGATATTTTGTAGACGTCTCGTTGTTGATTCACGTTTGTTTCATTAGTTTATTTTGAGAATGAATTGCTTTTATCTTTTAAATGTAACTTTCTGTTAATCTTTCTATTTCATTTCATCTAGTTATTCTATCTTCTTTCTTACGTTTTGTTACATCCTTCCTTCCTTCCTTCCTTCCTTTTTTCCTTCCTAATAGTTCTCACATGTTTCTCCTTTTTTTTTTCAGGTTCCTTCATTTTTATAAATTCGAACTGATTACTTTTTTCTTTTTCGCTTTCTTTTTCGATTTTTTTTTTCGCTTTCTTTTCTCATTAATTTCGTTTTTAGACTTTTCTCTTTTTTTCTGATTCTTTCAAACTTTGATTTTTTTATATTATTTTTATTATTTTAATCTTTCACGTAATTCCCTCTACAAAATCTCTTTTTTCTCCTGTCATTTTTAACTAATTCCTTTTTTCATATCCTCGCTCTTGTTAGTTGTTGTTGTTGTTGTTCTTCTTCTTCTTCTTCTTCTTCTTCTTCTTCTTCTTCTTCTTCTTCTTTTTATTCTCCTCCTCCTCCAACTTCTTCTTCTTCTTCTCTACCTCATCCTCCTTCTTATTCTTCTTTTTATTCTCCTCCTCCTCCACTTTCTTCTTCTTCTCTACCTCATCCTCCTTCTCCTTCTTCTTTTTATTCTCCTCCTCCTCCACCTTCTTCTTCTTCTCTACCTCATCCTCCTTCTCTTTCTTCTTTTTATTCTCCTCCTCCTCCACCTTCTTCTTCTTCTCTACCTCATCCTCCTTCTTCTTTTTCTTTTTATTCTCCTCCTCCTCCACTTTCTTCTTCTTCTCTACCTCATCCTCCTTCTTCTTCTTCTTCTTTTTATTCTCCTCCTCCTCCACCTTCTTCTTCTTCTTCTCTACCTCATCCTCCTTCTTCTTCTTCTTTTTATTCTCCTCCTCCTCCTCCACCTTCTTCTTCTTCTTCTCTACCTCATCCTCCTTCTTCTTCTTCTTTTTATTCTCCTCCTCCTCCACCTTCTTCTTCTTCTTCTCTACCTCATCCTCCTTCTTCTTTTTCTTTTTATTCTCCTCCTCCTCCACCTTCTTCTTCTTCTTCTTCTTCTTCTGTTGCTATTAATAATATGACTATTTCTATATCATTGTTCTTTACTTCTTATTTTCGTTGTCTTTCTTTTTTCTCTCTCATTCTCTTTCCTTTCGCTTATTTTCCACTTTTGGGCCTCTTTCATTTATTTTTTCCCTCTCCTCGATCAGTATTCCTCCTTTTCTATCAACTATCACTTATTCCTCTCTATTTCCATACGTTCTCACCTTTAGTCTACATTTCCATCTTATTCTCTCTTCCTTTACCACGTTTTCTTTACCATTTCCCCCCCCCACCGTTTACTTATCGTGTTTGTTTTCTCCATTTCTCTTCCGTCGATTTCTTCCCGTTCCGACTTCAGACGATTCTTTTCTTCCTGCTATCAATAAGTTGAATAAATAATTTAGACAGCGATGTTGTTTCAATCTGAAAAACAAATAAAAACTCAAGTTATACTGAATTAGGTTTTGTTATTCTTTCTGTTTTCATCTAAAAATATTTCCATAATTATTTTTATAGCAAAGAAATATTTCTTTAGTGTGAACAGTACTGAGTAGCATTGCACGGGTTCATTTTAATGATGTTAAAAAGATTTAATTTTGTAAAGAGCGCAGTTTAACAAACATTCCGTATACATTTTTCTTGTTTGATAATGTTTGATTTTTTTTTCTCCTTTAAATGTGTATATAAGTCGACATGTTTGTTCAACAAAAAGGCAATTGCAGGTGCTGCTGTCTTCATAGAATAATGAATAATGGATAATTTCTTTCACTCTTTTTCTCTCTCCTCACACACACATGTTTGCATATTTAGGCAGTAATATTTCATTCAAGCAAGTTTGGTTAAATAATGAAATAATGTACATAGGAATAAATATAATATATATATATATATATATATATATATATATATATATATGAACAAATATAGTTTTAAGGTGTGCTATATTATGGGGTAAAGTGCTGAATATCAGTGATAGTGCCTATGAAAATATAAAAGTGTAAAAGTGAACATTCAAGTCAACACTCAGGGGTTTCAGGCTGTTTCATGCTAGACGCAATCGTCAGGCCACCTGAGGGATTGCATCTAGCATGAAACAGCCTGTCGCCTCTAACTGTTGACTTCAAAAATAATATATATATATATATATATATATATATATATATATATATATATATATATATATATATATATATATATATATATATATATATTGAAACATAATATGTTGAAACATACGTTGGCCTCAATTGGGGAATCAGTCACCTAGGAAGAATATTATTTTTTTCTTATTCCCTCCTCTAGTTCGATAAGTTAGATCTTCATATCAGCTGTTGGTAAAATATTCTCGTATCAACTAATTTGTTTTATTCGGCCGACAATTATATTTCTGAAGAAGTGTCGTCTGAAAGGTGGCTTCAATTTTAAACGTGTGATATTTTTTTATCCTATGTTAATAATAATTCTTGATCCCTGTCCTCAACATTATTTTATCCTGGTGTGGCAACAGCAACCTCTTTAAATACACACACACACACACACACACACACACACACACACATATATATATATATATATATATATATATATATATATATATATATAAATTGCAGCTAACGGAAGGTACACAAGACGATACCCGATCAGTATCTACTGGAAAGTTTCGTTAGGAACAAAGGAAAGTGTACTTAACTCTTACGTGATAGCTTTACTCCTGCATGCCAGCGAATGCTAGACAATCTCCTCAAAGATGAAGCAAAGTCTCGAAGCACAAGCAATGTAAGGATACTGAGGATAACAGGCCGATGATGTGAGAAAAGATGATGTTTCGCAGAGCACGGAAGCAAAGTGGAAACATATATAACTTCAGGAAGAGGCTTTTGAAATTTCATAATGAGGAAGTAGAGCTTGGAAAATCTGATTCTCCAGGACGGATAGAGGGGAAATGTGGGACAAGGGAGAAGGAAGGCGTGTTATACATAATGGTTTTAAGCAAGTGGACGGCGGAAAAGGCTCTGGGTAAAATAACAAAAAGACAAAACTTTTTAAGAGCTACAAGGGATAGGAAGACGTGGAGTGTCATGATCGTCTACTTCCTGAAGGAATACGGCACATAAAAAAAGCTGTCCATTCTAGTATACGCCACCAATGCCACAAAGCAGAAGCGAAAAAAAATAGAGATTTTATAAAATGGGATGTGTAACAACAGGCAACGGAAAATGTCACACGGAAATCCTATGGCGGACAGGAATAGTGGAATTTTTCGTCTAAATGCAAAGCAGATTATTAAGATATTCTTAGAAAGAAAGACAAGTCTGTTGAACTATTATGCAATATCTACTTTCCAATATGGCAGTGAATATTGTAGTGGAAGAAGATGACTGAGGCGAGTGGAGTGTGATACTACTTATGAATGCTGGGAATTCCGTGGACAGAATATTTGAACAGTGACGAAGTTTTAAGGTAAATAAGAAAATCAAGTAAACTTACAAACATAACTTGATTCTGCTATGCCTAATGAAGAACTATACAATGTCACAATTATAGGAGAAAGCAGAGGAAAGAGAAATATGAAGAAACATGGACGAAGTTTCTTTAACGTGATTGTGAGAAGGAATGGCAGAATAAGGAGAAGAACTGGCAATGTAGTGACAAAAAGAACTTGGGACCATAAGAAACAGGAAGTAGTGGATAACTATCACTGCACACGTACTGAATTGATAATGACCAGCTACTAGTAGTTTGCGGGTACACACATACAGACACCAGCTAAAGCAACAAAATTCAACTGTAGTTTATACTTCATCTATGCTGAGCGGAATTTAGTTAGTGCTTCTGGGAGATATATCGCATAATCAGCCGTGATCAATTATCTTTAACAGGTATGCTCAAATCCCCCGGGTGTCCTGAGTGTGACGATAAAACAACATCCGACAGCAAGACATCTGATCGAGAGGATTTGAGGGGCTCGATCTGTCAGTTATGTGCCATGCGTGATGTTTCTTTCGATACATGACTGACGAGGCAGATTTCTTTCACGCAGTAGGTTGCCATTTCTTTATGCGGTAGACCAGTTGCCATCCAAGGCTATAGAACCCGGTCTGTCCTGCTATTTACCCATGGGGAGGAGATCGGTACTTAATTGTTGTTGATCCCAGGTCCACTCTGATCTGATTCGGGTTGGTCTTATTGTGTTAGGGTCTCAGCTATGGAAATATAGTGTTTTGTTTTGTTTGTTTTTTTTTTTTTTTTTTTTTTTTGGTGGTTCACTTAAAAAGTACAAAAAGACATTATGGTAAAAATACCAGGAATATGTTTATAAAAAGAATTGACCCGTATTAATACATTTTATATCAAAATGACCAGCTGTAGTGCATTTTTATAGCAAAATGACAGTCAATAAAGCACTAAAGTATAAAAATATATATTTTATAGTAAAATTACCGGAAATACATTTTATCATCTACAAACCATATATCTAAAGGAAATACGTTTGCCCTGAAAGTATAAAATTATGTACAATATATCTCTAGTTGAAGCCATAAAATTGTATACAAATTATTTAGATTTAGGCATTAGATGTTGACATGGCGCTAAATAAAACCAACCAACCAACCAATCAAACCCCTCGGTTTCGATGACTTGTGACTTCTGGTCTAGCACAATCATTCAGTGATTCCCTACAACACCTTCTACCAAGATTGCCTCACAAGGCTTAGGTCAACCCGTGGTTTGATTTTCAGAAATATTTCAAAATTTCCTTTATCAGGGATCGGCTGTGCAGGCTGATAACGTTAAGGTCATCTTCCTGACAAATCCACAGTGGTAAGATTCGAACACGAGTCATAAGGCCAGAAAGCAAAACCTGAATGCAGAACATAATAAAAAGAAAAAAAAATATTTCGTTCTTACGTCTATCTCTGTTATTTACTTAATATTCTATATTATTCCTTCCGACAATTCCATTAATTTCTATACTTCTTCACGTCCAACAACACTTCTACGTCTTATGTTTTCCTTCAGTCTTTTTGTTTTATTAACGCTTATTACTTTTCTCAATACACCTTGCTTAATGAAAGGAAAACATTTTAAACGTAAAATATTGTACTTCCAGCTCTGAATTCTATACGAAAACTTTCTATAAGCATACAAATATATTATGAAAGGTCGCATTTCTACTCAAACAAAATGATTCCCTTCAAAGCATTGAGGTTAGGATGGGTAACAAAAAAGTCGATTAAGTGAAATCTTTCACCAAGTATAATGTTAAGATGCTCGGTCAAGTGTTCACAGTGGCATGCTCGAAGGTAAAAAGACGATCAGTTAAAATGGCGGGCGTAATCTTGCGTGAAATTAAATGTCTGATCAATGATGAACTTTGGAATACAAAAATGAATAATCGTGATTGTTGACTGTTTTCATGCTTTCTGCAAGTCTAAATGTCCGCTAAAAAGGGAGTTTAAAATGCTGCCTGGAGAGAAAAAAAGTAAGTAAAGCTGAGAATTCGAAGAAAAGAAAAGAAAGAATAAATGATCAATACTGCCTACAGAAAGATGAACTGTTTTAATGAAAACACAACAGAGAAAGTGATGTTATGAGAGAAGAGTAGTTTAATGGAAAGGAATAGGAATAGATTTAAAACAAGAAAACAATACAGAAAAATAAACAAACAAAAATAAAGAGACTGGAATGAAGAATGGCGCTAGAGAAGGAAAAGGGCGTAAAAAAGAAAGAAAACAAGAAGAAATAGATAAACAAGATACAAACAACTGGAGAAAGAGCGAATGATTAGAACAAAAGGATTATGTAAAAACAGAGATGAACTAACGTAATAAAAGATAAAGAGACGAAGCGTTAAAACTTTATAAAAGCCGTTTCTAAAGGCTTTAATCTATACCGGACACACGTCGTTTCTGCAAAAAGCAGTATCTTAAATCTCTAAAGTCATAGATAAATTGAATAGTATAATAAAACTGAATTCTCGGAATGGTCTTGCTCTTACTCTAAGTGTTCCCTTACTGTAATGCGTACCACCCATAATTGACTCTATTCCCGTATTGAATCCGCGTTGAAACAGAGCAATTTATCGTGTTTGCTACTGAAGGTAAGCGTACAATTTCTCTGAAATGTCTCCGATTTTGATGGTTGCCATTTCAAATCCAGTTGATCCTCTGACAAAGAAAAGAAAACGCATGTCATCTGAAGCGTCATTAAGAAAACTTCAGCATCACATACTCCCATGAGATTGTTCGAGGCGTAGTCGAACTGAAATTAAGTTGCTTCAGCAAGTGTAAGGTCAAAGGGAGAAGTGATATTTGGGCCGACCATAATGTTCGTTCGTTGCTTCACGTTTCGCCGGAGGAGGGAAACGCTGTAAATCAATTAAGCCGCAAC